ATTTAAAGTGAAAATCCGTGGTGTAACAAAACAAAGAGCCTCAAATAATTGTAAACAGCAATTTGTGACGGTAACCCACATTTCTTTTGAGTGATCGGTGTGCATTGGTTTGGTTGAAGCGATACCAATTTGCGATTCGATATCGTCAGTCGCCGGATGAAACATAGAAGCCGGTCGAAACAAGTAGTTTGTCATGTGTACGGTAGGCGGTACTCTTAAGACTTTGCTTGTTCTTGCATGGCCATTCTTTAGAAAATAAATTGTAAAGGCGTGTAGTGTATCGTCTCCAAAGCAGAATGTCAACTAAACACTACATTCATTAATGTGTCACGGTTCTTCTGAAATATTCGAAACATCCGATTGAGTATTGGCCATATGTAATGTGAATTTGATTTCCATATGATCAAAAAAATCGGAAATATTGACAAGTCCATCGTTTTTCATGAATAAATCTGATGAATGAGCTCTTTGGAAATGATCAACGAACACATTTCTTCTAAAAATGCATTTTATTTTTCAGGCCACAGAAACGAATAGAACACGAAATAGTTTTATTGGTTTGTGTGGGTTTTCATGTTGGTTTTCTTCCTTGTTCCGTCTGTTTCGTTCCGAATAAGCAAAAACAATGGCCCGCCATAAAATGTCGAATAAGTTCTCATGAATACGTTTCCAGCTTGGTTTTCCTCGATTCCTTTGTTGTTCAGTTCCTTTTTATTGCTTTTTCTCTACTTTCAACATTCATCAATGTGTTGGAATACGAAGAAGTGTTCAACATTTCTTGGGCACAACAATGTACGTTGGTTTCAATCACTTTCATGGTTATATAGCATGTATTATGCAGACAAATTCGAATGATTTCATTTCATGCGGTGGTAAAAGTTACAAGTTCTTACGATACCCGAGGGGTGTTTTAAAAACTTCCTTTCTTGTGGCAAGCACGTGGTTTGTGTCACATACATAACGTATATGAAGCTTATTGAAACGTTTTCAAATGAACGCTCGAATCTTTGTAGCAGAACATGATGATTTTCGTGAGTAAATTTAAATATATTAGTGAAAAATGAATGAGAACGCGGTTTTAAAACATTTCAGTCAAGAATGCCACCTACGTACGCCGTTTTATTCCTTTCATCTTACAGCTAGTCGTTAATAATAAGAATAAAATGATTGTGTTTGCTTTGATCTCGCCACCAAGTTCGCTCATCTACGCCATCAAATGTCCAAATAAGCACGCCGAGCTGGCACATTTGAAGCAGATAATCTCTCGAGTTTGCTCGTTTGTTTCGACGGCATTTGTATCACCTAAAATACGCGAATCGTTTTATTTTGACTGCGCCATTCTAAACAACATTTGTTCGGCGATCTCTAAATGTCACAACATTTCCGCTTTTATATTTTGAAATCATAACTCATGATTGCGATAGTAATTATGACGTTCCGTATTTTGTTCACTTCAAATACTTCCTTAATCATTGTATTTGATTCTGAGAACAGCACTCAAGTCGATTTTTCTCCATTCCGTCGTAAACAAGTCGATGGCGAACAGAGAAAGAAAAAACCTCTCACCTTTGGACGAAGACGATATGTAAATATAATTATTACCATTCCGAATGACGTCTTTAACACATTGTCTGCCGCTAATCAGTTTAATGAGTAAATTTAAGAGATCACGAATCATGACCGATTAATCGAATACACACCATCAAATCAATCAACGTATGGAATTTTAACTAATTTCGCATTAAATTTATTTCCAACATCAGGCCAAGAACAAAAACACAGCATATATTTCGGTGGGGCTAATTGAATTGCGTCCGTGCTGACGGCAATCCGCGACGCCCGTAATTAGTGGCAAATTAGACCAATTTTGCAATTTGTCGCCTCCGAACATCCGATAAGAAGTAAGTCACCGATTTTTGAGCCAGTTTCAAAGTGATGGCGTCATTTCATGCCGCGATTCGCACACGACTACCCAATCATTTGTCGCTTGTCATTCGCATCGATGAATGAGTAAATTGACGACGTCATCGACGATAACGCAGTGATAGATCATCAGATAGACGATGTACTCTTTGTTTGTTATTCGGATGATCGGTCGGTCATTCGATGCGCAAACTGATGCTAATGAACGCATATACCACAGAAATATTATCGACGTTTAATTATTACTTTCGGAACCCATTGAGTAGCGCTGATGGAATTTCTTTGTCGGACAGTCGATAAATACCAGATGGTGATGTTGCTTAGGAGCTTTTTCTGCTTCAATCATATAGAATTACTTAGCGGCAAATTAAATGCTTCGCTTATCGCTTACATGCCGGCCTCAAGCTTTGCTTTTGCTGTAAAATACGATTCGTCTGTTTTGTTTTGCATTGAAGCTAATGCTCACTGGTCGCCGATACTCAGAAAAAATCGATAGAAACCACCGATTCGAATGTGAAGCTATACACACATATTTTGAATTATTATCGATAATTGGTAAATAATTTGGGTCCCTATTGGGTCACAATATTCCATGATACGTTAGTTGTGATGCGAAACGCTGCTGCTTCCATACATTTATGTACTATAGCGAGCGGAAAGATCTGGCTAGTAACCCGAAAATATTTCATTAGGTCTTAGGCGAATAATCCCGAATAATTTGTTCGTTTTATGAGCTTGTAATCTTGGCAATTTGCGAACACAAAATAAATAGCGTGTTTAATATCGACGTTGACTTACAACCAACTACCGAATTAACACCAATAAAGAGAAGAAAATCAAATTATCTCATTACACATAGGATCTGTTGGCGCACATAGCGAAATAATTCTGTCTCGCTTCTCTGGTATTAATAAGAACAAACCAATTGCAGCAGTAGAAATGAGCTAAAACGAGGTTCACTATTGCCAAGATTCGAATTTCTATGTGTTTGCTGTACAATTTTAATACGCTATAGACTGTGTTCAGTGTTCACATTTTGCAGCTTACAGGTTTTGCGGCATTCAAATGATGACACAGAATGCAAGTACATATAAAAGTGGATGAGCTTGAAATTTATATGGAAAATTGGAACACTGCGGGGTGGAGTTGTGTTTATTATATAAGCCAAATACAAAAAAAGGAGATCTGACCGACATGAGCGTAAGGAAACAGTCGGCATCCACACAAAACATACACGACTATTTCTTACCAAAGCCATAACATCGTCCAATATACTTTATAAGCATCATAATTGTCGATTATAAAACACATGAATGCCCTGATGATAAAATATCCTCTTAAAATTCGCCACCAATCATAAATTCACTCCAACGTTCATGCTCACATCTACTCTATTTGCTCGCCATCGCTGAATCACTGCTCCGCATTCCACTCAAAATCCCATTCCGGTGTGTGTGTGGGGGTCGATGAAAATCTGGTCCGCATTCACTTGTTCGTCGTTCAATGTTCAACGATTGCTTATTCACGTTCATGTTGGAAAGTTCCACGCAGCCATAACAGTTTGGAATTAATAAACTGAAGGGTGGTACGTGGTGGCTAAACGTCGTAATCAAGCGCGATGAATGCTGGGAACCAAGAGCCAAACACATGCAAAATGTAATGAAAATTAATAACCCTCGCCCCGACCCATAAGCGAGCACAGCAAATGGAGAAGGAACACAAAACGGAAAGGCGAATATGCGAACGGAAGCGACTCCGGTAGTATTAAATCCAGTGAAAAGTGCTAAATGCACAATTAAATTCAGACCAGTGCCAAGCGATATGGCCTCGTCTATATATTATTACAGCATCGAAGCATGCTCTCCATTTTCGCCCTCGTTCCCTTCCATTGCTCCGCACTGCTCCATTTCCACTCGATCATTGTCTTGGTAAGAAGCGCTGCTCTGTTGCTACAGCGAATTTATATGAGAATAATTTAGGCCAAATTTGCTGAAGAAGAAATGAAAAGAGAGTTGGGGATTGAGGGAAGGGGCCTTATGTACACCCGCTTATTTAATTTCTACGCAACGCAAGCAACAAATAAATGCGTGAGTTTATGTACACGGTTCAATAGAAGTTGTGATTGCGTGTGACGATGCCACTGTGGAACGGTGTGAAAATTGCCAGAAAAAGCGACCATCATCAGAATGAACTGATTGCCACGATAAACACCACATAAAAAATGGACATTATGGAAATAATTTTCTTCGCTAACACATTCGCCTTTATTTTATCGAATGGAATGAAATCCCTGTAGTTTTTTTTTCATGCGATTTAATTTGATTAAGACGTTGATTCCTCGAAGTCCACGAGTACCATTACGATCATTTACATTATGGAACAAATTCCATAGTTCGGTTTATTCTTTCTTTAAAGCAATTATAGAATTTGAAGTTTAAATGATTTTCCAAACAGAATTGCAAAATTCCCAAATAAGATGCCTTGAATATTTGTAAAAGTCATCATATCAATATATCACTTCAAAAACATTCAACGCTTTGAGCAAAACTAACCAGAAGCAGTCTTTTCTGTTTCTCTTTGTTTCCATGGCTTTGAATAAGATTTATCCGTCGTCTAATCTTGTTCTTCGTTTATTTCTATGTCAGTGTGAACGGGAACCAAATGTCTGTTATATAAGTGAAAACTTGAGCGGATGTCCACGAGTACTGCTACCCTTTTCAATTCATAGAGTAAAATCAAAGTGGAAACTATTTGCGGATGACCTTATAAAAGAAAACCCACCAGAAATAAATCAAAATTCGACATTGAAACGGTCGCAACAAATTGCTACCGGATTTTAATGGGCGAACATTTTTCAAAGAGACTCAGCGGGATGTTTCAAAGTGTCTGAAAAAAATCGACTCGAATGGAAGGAAGTGAAGATAATACGATAAAACAAATAACTTCTGGTTTAGTATTATTGCCACTGAAAACATATGTTGAACACTGCATCAGTCTAATTCGAAATGAGATAAAAGAAAACAACGTCAAATCAACTTCAACTGTATCGATCACATATAAATAATTGGCGTTTAATTTTCAACAATTTGTTTCGTTGCCTTACAGGATATATCTTCTTAGAACATTCGATTTGACTTATCAGCTTATGCATTAACTATTTACAGAACTAAAAATTTAAACTATGATACGAAGATGTATGGCAGACAAAATAGAAATTATTTCAATTTAAAATCTAATTCGGTGCAGTAAAATTACTCGGATTTATATGGCTTAAACAATTTGGGCTTCTCTGACTTAAGAATCGTCGTTTCACCAATATTGTTGTTGTTATGGTTTGTGATTTGATGCGGTGTACTTGACTGTGAATTTGAATGATATGGTATTGGTGCGAACTGAAAATGAAAGAGAAAACACTTGCACATTAATCATTTACATTTTCAATCGTAAAATTCCAGAAAAAATATTGAATCCAACCTTCTGAAAATGAATTTGGGAAAACCAAAAATTGAAAATGAATTCGGGTTAAAATACCTTTTCTGATTCTGATACAGGTGAAAGTGAGAGTGGTGACATCGGTGAACTAGGGCTTCGCAAGTAATCGCTACTGCTGCCGAATGAGTTATTTAGGCCTGTTCCAATGTCATTTCGCGTAATAATTGTTCCACTCGGAGACGTTGATAAAGGTGAGGAGTGCGAATGTGCCGGAATGCTGGTTGGGTTTCGATGCGGAATCTGATATGGAGCGTATCGATAGCCGTATGTGTAGGGATTTCCAGTGGCTGATTGAATCTGGGATGGCGTGATCACAGGCATTTGTGGGATCATTGGGTTTGGTGCGTAGTATGGCATTCCAACTGAATTGGCCGCCGCTTGAAGCAACGACGCTGCAAAATTTGGATCGGCATAAACGGCTGCGTATGGCCAAGCAACAGCAATCCGCTGGCGCTTGTCTTTCATGCGCCGATTTTGGAACCAGACCTACGAGAAAATAGGTTCATTTAATGCATTTAAGGTTTTGAAAGATTTGAAATAAAAACAATGATTTTGATAGATATTAAATTAAATTGAGAGTCGATTTTCTTCTATGCCGGGGATAATGTTGCTCCAGTAACAAGTAGAGTAAAATGAATCATTGAAAACAAAAACAAAAAACACACACACAAAGAGACATAGCAATTTTAAAATGCCTTAAAGCCATTGTTTTGAAGAACCGAAATTCCGAAACTTCTTTGAACGGTAGTCAAAATAAATTAGTTCAGATGGTTCGGTTAGTCTAACAAATCCAAAAGACAAACAAGTAAATATTTAAGGAATTTAAATTGAGCATTTGGTGGAAAATCGTTTGTTTCGAAAAGTAAACAAACAAACAAATGATGGGAAAAGTAAACACTTCATTTTGATCTCGAGCAATGTTTCGCTTTATGTAACCGCGAAATCATCCAAAGAGAGAAAGAGAAAGAAAGAGAGAGGAGGAAAGAGAGAGTAAACAACAGAAAGTATATACACAGAGAGCGACGCACAAGAAAAGGTAATGGTCACTGCTGACTTATGCTAATAATGATAATAATCAAATCGTTATATTCTTTTTTTTTAATTATCGATAATATTTTACGCTGCTTTGCTTTATTAACAATTCGATTTTCGTCTTTGAGACTGAATTAAAACAGACGAAAGAAAATCATTCGGTAATATACATGTGAGCATATTAATGGCACTACATCCACTACACGCACATTTAAAAGCATCAGATTGGCCACTTAGCACATGAGTGATAAAAATTCACTAATAAAAGCGGGTGAAGAGATCGACTGGCATCCAAATTATTTTCTCACATTCGTTTCATTCACATCGAAATCATTCAATCATTTAGCATAAGTCAGTCAGCTACACGAAGCTCCCATAAGGAAATCAAAGCTAAAAATGTCCGAAAACCTTAAAAAAAATTGATAATAACCCGAATAAATAAACAGAATACGTCGAGAGAATACCAATACACAGCAACAATCGAGTTAATTTTTTTATTAGAATTTTATTGCGTGAGGTAAATGAGCGATGGATTTTCGGTAGCCAAAACTCATCATTCGTTTTGAAAAAAGAAGAATAGTGAATAATAGAGAAATTAGCAGATAAAGAAATATGTGCCGCCAAAGCATTTCACCCGCAACGCAATTTACAATCGAAAATATGAGTTTCGATGAAAAAGAAGCAAGAGAAAAAAAACACAAGAATTTTTATGATCGAATTCATCATCCATCTACGGATGATGGGTTTTGGGTTGGTCTGAGCGCGACCAACGCTATGGAATCGCCTTCAATTAAAACATTTATGAACTGATGGTGTTGTTTCTTCTTCTTCTTCTGGTAATAGTGTGAAATTTGAAGCGTTTTAGCATGAGTCTTTTCATCTTCCGCGAGATTCATTCATTTGTTCGATTTGGGGCTTTTGATTGAGTGATTAATACCGAATAAAATAAAATACAACGTTTCATTGAACCGGCGGTGAATATCAAATGATTTTGCGCTATGATTCACGGCTGAATTTGATTTTTATTACGCCAATGATAATAAATGATCGAAAATCACAAAAGACTGACAGAAAAACACACACGCACACACACCTTGATGGTTGACTCAGGAAGACCAAGTTGAATGGCCAATTCACAGCGACGCGGTCGTGACACATAATTTTCCTTATAGAATTCCTTTTCCAATCGAGCCAATTGCTCACGTGTGAATGCCGTCCGATATCGACGAACCGACGGATCAACATGTTCATTGTTTGTATCCATTGTTGCACTTGTCAAAATCACTTTCTATCAAAATTCACTACTTTGTCACGAATCAAAACAATATTCACTTTTTTCGCACGTTGTCCCAATATAACTCCCAATAATGTCTAAATGTTTTATGGTCCCAAATCCAGTGAGTTAACAATCAAAATCAAAATTTGCCGAAAGAGTACACGTTTTAATTGATTTTCTCAATATTTGAACAAGCTTTCCCTTTGAAGATGAAACCACAACTGAATGCTGTTCTAGCATATAGCATTTCAGCCAAGTGGAGATGGTAACAACGAAATGGGCGTGAACCAATGCATGGATTGAACAACACACTTGCGGTATATATGAGACAGCGAACAACGCTACTGTGTTTCTATCAAACCGTTGAAGATTTCACGCCTTCCCCTCCATCATATTATATACTGTACTCATTCTGTCGATTCATCTAGTAGAAGGAAAAAATTTAGAATGGCTAAATCATATCAGATTGCTTGTTTTTACTTACCTTTTACCAAAACACGATAAAATATTGATATTGAAATTAGGAGTCACATTAAATTCATATTAGGAATATCATGGCAGGCGCGATTGATGATCTGTTATGCTTGTATTTTCCGCAAATGTCATTCGATATCCATCAAATGTCTATACAATAATATATGAATGCAATGGTCGCAAATGGTTTTGTCGATGAGCCGTGTCATTGTGTAGAAAAAATGTAAAACGAATGACGATTTGATCCTGTACAACACACTGAATATACAGTCATATGGTAACATTGCCATTTTCTTACCTCGTATACATGATTTAATTTTGCTATTCTTCAAACAACATCGAAATAATGAACGTATGTGTGTATTGTATTCAACCTTGAGAGAAAAAGTTAGGCGTTCTATGGTAAAATTAATGACCAATTCCGTTTTAAATTGTTTCTGCTGAACTAAAGACTTTAAAATACGATACTAGCGTATACGTATTTTTTTATCGATATCTTTAATTGAAATGAGTCTCATGTTATTGTATCATGAAATTAAACACAAGCATTTCAACGTGTGAAGAACAATCGTTTTTTTTTATTTGGGTGAATATTATTATTAAACGCCATTTACACATTTTAAATAGTTTAATATTATTTTATTAAGAAATAAATTCAATTGACACCCATAGAATGAAAGAACAACTTATGAGCTCTCTATCTATAACTAACACCATGTAAAAGTGACACATTGAGCGGAAAAGACGTTTTTTGCATTTTTCTCACTCCTGGAAATAGATAACGATTAGGTGTTTTTGGCATTATTGTAGAAAATAAAAAGAACCACAAATGAGCCGAAGATACCTAATCGCTATCTCTATCCAGGAGCGAGAAAAAGGCAAAAAAACGTCTTTTCCCCACAATGCTGAGTTGTTTCACTTTTGCTTGCAACTTTATTTTTCTCTTTTTGCTTTAAGTTTTTTTCCGTCTCATGGTTAGTTATAGATAAAGAGCTCATAAGTTATTCTTTCATTCTATGGGTGTCAATTAATTCCAATTTTCTTTTATTTAATCGCTATGACGTAATTTTTCTGAACTCAATGAGTTTCTCAATCAACTTATGAAACTAATGCTTAAAACATTTACAAAAATGTAAACAGTTCAGAGATCAAGGTTTCAGTACAGAATCAGATCACTTTTCACACTTCCGATTTATACGGTTTGAACAATTTCGGTTTGTCCGATTTAAGTATTGTCGAGACATCAATCTGGTTGACACTACTTTGATGACTAATTTTATGATGTTTTATGAGCGACGCGTTTGAATTTGACAATGAAAACAACTGAAACAAAGAGTAAAAAGTGAGAAATTTACTATCGAAACCGTTTGATCATTTTTTCTTTATCAAAACCTATTTCAAAATTTATATCTCTAATAAAAGAAAAATGCAAGAATAATAAAAAACCCTTACCTTATCCGATTCAGACACAGGTGAAAGAGATGAAGAGGAGAGTTGCAGACTTATACTACAAAGTGAGTCATTTCTAAGATCATCTTTCATGGGTATTTGTCGATTCGATTGTGTTGACATGGGTGACGAGTGTGGATTATTTGATGGGCTGCGATGCAGAATCTGATATGGAGAATATCGATAGCCGTATGTGTAGGGATTTCCAGTGGCTGATGAAATCTGAGATGGTGTGATCACAGGCATTTGTGGAATCATCGGATTCGGCGCGTAATATGGCATTCCAACTGAATTGGCCGCTGCCTGAAGCAAGGAGGCTGCAAAATTTGGATCAGCATAGACGGCTGCGTATGGCCAAGCAACAGCAATCCGTTGGCGTTTGTCTTTCATGCGACGATTTTGGAACCAAATCTATGGATTTAGACAAAAATAAACGAGTTTTGGTCATTGGCTTTTGATATTTACTGAAAATTATCTGGTTCACGTTTCACAAGTCAATGAGACTTTGCAATAACCACATTTAACCAAGATTTAAGGAATTATTGCGACAAATCAATATTCCCGCGACACTGAAGATAATATAAATTATTAATCGAGCAACTTTTGTGAATGATTTAATCCTGTTTATCGTTAAATTGATTACTAAATATTAAACTATATCCATTAGACTCTCTAATGTCTAGTACTGAACAACATTATTAAAAAATTATCAATCAACTGCTTTTAGCTCTCAACTAGACCTTATTCATAATAAGAGAAACTGCTCTGGAACTGTTTCGGATTCGATTTTCTCTGAATCAACCATAACTAAACGTTAAAACTATCGCGCGCACCTTGATGGTTAATTCCGGAATACCGAGCTGTACAGCCAATTCACAGCGACGGGGTCGTGACACATAATTTTCTCTATAAAATTCCTTTTCCAGCCGCGACAATTGTTCGCGAGTGAACGAAGTACGATTACGGCGAACCGACGGATCAACATGTTCGGTGAGTGTATCCATTTTTAACTTTTCAATTAAACAATTTTCGTTTCACAAAATTTATTTACACGAATTTCTTTGACATCTCTTCAATTGTCACTTATTAAAAAAAACAATAATACGGTGTGTACAAATAAAACGAAACAAATTGCTGTTTAATAGTAAAATTATGCCAAAACCCAACCAATACAAACGTATGTCAACGAAGACCAAATTGAAAATGATGCATTCACACTTATGGCATCGGTTTAAATAAGTTGAAATGTGAAATGGGCGTGAACCGCTACTCATATATACACACAGTAAGCGACAATATCATGTTACATGCATCGTCGACAATGCTGCGAGGAAAATGAGAGAAATGAGCAACTGTAAGCGTATCAATAATAGTAGTGGTTTCGAGTAATCATAGCATTTCTTATCATTTTAAATTTCGTATCTAATTGGCATTTCAAAAGAACATTTCGAATTCACCAACATAAATGAGGTTTATTTCCAATCAAAAAAATCCAATTATCCAATCATTTCGTTTGCCAATCTATAATTTTGTATTTGAAACAGAAGAATCTAATGCGAATATGAGTTCCACTTTCAGAAACATACTGCCAATTTTATTATGAGCTAACTGGATAAAAGGATTTTCTTCGCTACGTATTCTTGTGCGCTATATTTTCCTACCCATGGATGTATTCGTGTATTACTGCGTCATACTTACTCACACAGGAACGTAACCAACCAATAACGTCTTAGATTTTGGAGTTGCGTCGCGGTGTATGTACTCGCGCGGCAGTCGGTGTGTTAGTCTGATAAGGACAAAATGCATTTCCATTTGGTTCTCTCTCTGCGGCAGTAGCAGATATTGTCTCTTTCTGTTCGACATGGAAATATCTGATTCATTAATCGCTAGTGGGTGGTCCACAAGTCTTCAACTTCCATACGAGAGACGATTTTTTTGATTCATTTTCACTTTTTCACACACATGAATTCATACAACTTGAACCAATTGATATACAATATACATGGGCATAACGTTTCATTGCTACTTGCATAATCTCGAAGTGATAGTGTAATCAAAAATTAAATTGAACCAATTTGTACATTATTGCATGCACTACTTTTAATTTCAGCGTTGAGACTACTATTTTTGAACGTGTCCGTGTGTTTCGATTTCAATATTGTCCAACTTGTTCGGGGTTTCGTTTGAGTTATTTTTTTGGAATGTGAGTCAAATAGAAATCGTGAGTAATGTATATGGATGGATTTTCTTGTTTGGGACTCTTATACTAACCATCAAGGTTAAGGTTGGCAAGGGAAGATTGAGTGTGATTCAAAGATGGCAGTGTGGCAATTCTTCAAATGGATTTATTCAACGGTGATAATGTTTTACTTTTTCAAATTGGAAAACCTGCTGACTACGATGTAGAAAATATTTTGAATAAAGAAACACACACAAATAGCGCAGTTTTTTTTGCGGCGATGCCCCTTTTTCCTTTATGAAATGGATTTGTTGAATAAAAATGTCCCAGAATTCCTCTGAGAATAATAAACGCACCAGCAAATGTGTTAGCGAAGAAAATTATTTCCATAATGTCCATTTTTTATGTGGTGTTTATCGTGGCAATCAGCTCATTCTGATGATGGTCGCTTTTCTTGGCAATTTTCTCACCGTTCCACAGTGGCATCGTCACACGCAATCACAACTTCTATTCAACCGTGTACATAAACTCACGCATTTATTTGTTGCTTGCGTTGCGTAGAAATTAAATAAGCGGGTGTACATAAGGCCCCTTTCCTCAATCCCGAAATCTCTTTTCATTTCGTCTTCAGCAAATTTGGCCTAAATTATTCTCATATAAATTCGCTGTAGCAACAGAGCAGCGCTTCTTACCAAGACAATGATCGAGTGGAAATGGAGCAGTGCGGAGCAATGGAAGGGAACGAGGGCGAAAATGGAGAGCATGCTTCGATGCTGTAATAATATATAGACGAGGCCATATCGCTTGGCACTGGTCTGAATTTAATTGTGCATTTAGCACTTTTCACTGGATTTAATACTACCGGAGTCGCTTCCGTTCGCATATTCGCCTTTCCGTTTTGTGTTCCTTCTCCATTTGCTGTGCTCGCTTATGGGTCGGGGCGAGGGTTATTAATTTTCATTACATTTTGCATGTGTTTGGCTCTTGGTTCCCAGCATTCATCGCGCTTGATTACGACGTTTAGCTACCACGTACCACCCTTCAGTTTATTAATTCCATAACAGTTGGCTGCGTGGAACTTTCCAACATGAACGTGAATAAGCAATCGTTGAACATTGAACGACGAACAAGTGAATGCGGACCAGATTTTCATCGACCCCCACACACACACCGGAATGGGATTTTGAGTGGAATGCGGAGCAGTGATTCAGCGATGGCGAGCAAATAGAGTAGATGTGAGCATGAACGTTGGAGTGAATTTATGATTGGTGGCGAATTTTAAGAGGATATTTTATCATCAGGGCATTCATGTGTTTTATAATCGACAATTATGATGCTTATAAAGTATATTGGACGATGTTATGGCTTTGGTAAGAAATAGTCGTGTATGTTTTGTGTGGATGCCGACTGTTTCCTTACGCTCATGTCGGTCAGATCTCCTTTTTTTGTATTTGGCTTATATAATAAACACAACTCCACCCCGCAGTGTTCCAATTTTCCATATAAATTTCAAGCTCATCCACTTTTATATGTACTTGCATTCTGTGTCATCATTTGAATGCCGCAAAACCTGTAAGCTGCAAAATGTGAACACTGAACACAGTCTATAGCGTATTAAAATTGTACAGCAAACACATAGAAATTCGAATCTTGGCAATAGTGAACCTCGTTTTAGCTCATTTCTACTGCTGCAATTGGTTTGTTCTTATTAATACCAGAGAAGCGAGACAGAATTATTTCGCTATGTGCGCCAACAGGTCCTATGTGTAATAAGATAATTTCATTTTCTTCTCTTTATTGGTGTTAGTTCGGTAGTTGGTTGTAAGTCAACGTCGATATTAAACACGCTATTTATTTTGTGTTCGCAAATTGCCAAGATTACAAGCTCATAAAACGAACAAATTATTCGGGATTATTCGCCTAAGACCTAATGAAATACTTTCGGGTTACCAGCCAGATCTTTCCGCTCGCTATAGTACATAAATGTATGGAAGCAGCAGCGTTTCGTAACACAACTAACGTATCATGGAATATTGTGACCCAATAGGGACCCAAATTATTTACCAATTATCGATAATAATTCAAAATATGTGTGTATAGCTTCACATTTGAATCGGTCGTTTCTATCGATTTTTTTTGAGTATCGGCGATTTCCAGTGAGCATTAGCTTCAATGCAAAACAAAACAGACGAATCGCATATTACAGCAAAAGCAAAGCTTGAGGCCGGCATGTAAGCGATAAGCGAAGCATTTAATTTGCCGCTAAGTAATTCTATATGATTGAAGCAGAAAAAGCTCCTAAGCAACACTACCATCTGGTATTTATCGACTGTCCGACAAAGAAATTCCATCAGCGCTACTCAATGGGTTCCGAAAGTAATAATTAAATGTCGATAATATTTCTGTGGTATATGCGTTCATTAGCATCAGTTTGCGCATCGACTGACCGACCGATCATCCGAATAACAAACAAAGAGTACATCGTCTATCTGATGATCTATCACTGCGTTATCGTCGATGACGTCGTCAATTTACTCATTCATCGATGCGAATGACAAGCGACAAATGATTGGGTAGTCGTGTGCGAATCGCGGCATGAAATGACGCCATCACTTTGAAACTGGCTCAACAATCGGTGACTTACTTCTTATCGGATGTTCGGAGGCGACAAATTGCAAAATTGGTCTAATTTGCCACTAATTACGGGCGTCGCGGATTGCCGTCAGCACGGACGCAATTCAATTAGCCCCACCGAAATATATGCTGTGTTTTTGTTCTTGGCCTGATGTTGGAAATAAATTTAATGCGAAATTAGTTAAAATTCCATACGTTGATTGATTTGATGGTGTGTATTCGATTAATCGGTCATGATTCGTGATCTCTTAAATTTACTCATTAAACTGATTAGCGGCAGACAATGTGTTAAAGACGTCATTCGGAATGGTAATAATTATATTTACATATCGTCTTCGTCCAAAGGTGAGAGGTTTTTTCTTTCTCTGTTCGCCATCGACTCGTTTACGACGGAATGGAGAAAAATCGACTTGAGTGCTGTTCTCAGAATCAAATACAATGATTAAGGAAGTATTTGAAGTGAACAAAATACGGAACGTCGTAATTGCTATCGCAATCATGAGTTATGATTTCAAAATATAAAAGCGGAAATGTTGTGACATTTAGAGATCGCCGAACAAATGTTGTTTAGAATGGCGCAGTCAAAATAAAACGATTCGCGTATTTTAGGTGATACAAATGCCGTCGAAACAAACGAGCAAACTCGAGAGATTATCTGCTTCAAATGTGCCAGCTCGGCGTGCTTATTTGGACATTTGATGGCGTAGATGAGCGAACTTGGTGGCGAGATCAAAGCAAACACAATCATTTTATTCTTATTATTAACGACTAGCTGTAAGATGAAAGGAATAAAACGGCGTACGTAGGTGGCATTCTTGACTGAAATGTTTTAAAACCGCGTTCTCATTCATTTTTCACTAATATATTTAAATTAACATAATAAACACTGTATTTTTTCTCGATATTTTTATCGCATTCATTGCCTTTTTCTATATATTCACAAAGAATCTAATATTTGATAGAATAATTTCAATTTTATATTTAATTAGATAGATAGACTTGAAAATAATATAAATTTTGTTCGTTAATTCACTTGAAAGTGCTTATTACGTAGGCTTTGGATTTTATATGAAATACCATTTACTTTGATACTGGCAATTAGCAACTTCAAATTGCAAAACGTAAAAAGTGCCACTTGAAGTGTAAAAAAGTAAATTACTTCGACTGCTGTACCTGCTATTGCGCCAATTACTTGTTTATGCAATATTTCCCACCCAAAAATGACAATGGACGAGACAAATTTCGACAAAATAGTTGTCGTTGCTGTTGAACAAAAACTGGAACCAAACGAAAATCATTGAAAGTATTGTGTATTTGAGTCATCGACTTATCGTCTTCATTTCACATTCAAAACCAAAGGCGAAAACAATTATTCTGTCAGATACAGTGATATTAAGGTCATAATTGTAAATATGACACTTGTCTATTGACTCATTTTTATGTGAAAACACCACAATAATTGCCGAAATTGGTATGGGAAACACTCACACAACGATATGTGATTTAGAAAAGTAACAAATATGAGAGAGAGAGAGAGAGAGAGAGAGAGAGAGAGAGAGAGAGAAAACATTCGCCGCCTCATCAATTGACAAGAACTAAAGTGGAATATTCATTTTATTTTCGGCGGTTCCAGTGGTTTTTCTTCCGACTCTGTCTTTCATGTTTCGCCGTTTCGTGTCTGTTGGATCAGATGAAATAAATCATTATTAACACATTTCACAAGATGAATGCCTTAGAGTGATTTCAAGCTGCAATAAAATTCATCAATTTATAATGAAATGACTGAGCAAGCGCGATATGATGCGCGTAAAAGACCACAAACGATACAAAATAACTTCAGAAAACAGCACCTCCATATGAAGAAACTATCAATTTATTTACACATATATCCATGTTTGCATTTGATTAGTAACGCCATTGATGGCGCACCAGAACACAATGAGCTGCATCAACAGCACTTGCTTGTCAATGTAACATTCGAACTACAGATATATATCTGTATTGTTTCAAGCAAATATTTTCTAATTGAAGATTACTTGTCAACTTTTTTGGAATAGAAAAAATATGCTGGAATTAAATTGTTGTTTTCTTTCACATATTTTATTGGGTTTCTAATTTTGCTGTGACAGAAAACAGAAAACAGAAGGAAATTAAAGGTACATTTTCAGTCGATTTAGGGTATTATTTCGATGAAGACTAGATCCCTTTAATTTATTTGATATGTTTAAAATTTGCCGGAATTAAGTTGTTGGATGTGTAAACCTTGTGGATCGTATTTTCTGATCAATTTTTGCCAATCCTGTGGTCTATGTGTTCGCACGTAATTGATCACTTTCATGGAGTTCATCCGTTGCGTATTATCGCACTTTGAACAATTATTTTGGATGATGTCTGGCAAAAGATCTGCAAAAGTAAAAACACAATTTAATTACTTTTATCTCTATATTTTTCGGATTTAATTCTTTACAGTTCAAATTGTGTACGCTAATAAATGAGTTTCGAGAAATTTCATTTCTTTGTTCATCTTTTGATCGTTTTTTAATTTTTCCAATTTCCTTTTTTTGTTAGAAATATAGCCCAGTCTTTTCAACTTTTATATTTTCAACAAATTTCGAAGACAAGAAGTGTTTTTTTTCGAACGTTTCTAAGAAAAATTAAGACTATGCATAATACAGTGTATTATTAATACACTGATTTGATATTACTTGATATTGAAAAACGCATCTTGTTAAAAGTTGAAAAAGATGAAAAGGTTTAACAAACGACTCTAAACCCCTTGTCTCCATCCTAAATTTAAAAAAAAACATTCAAAATACCTTTAATACTGCGACCATCACGTGTGCATTGTTGTTCTCCCAACAAGCATTTGATGTAGTTGGTAAGAACACGGTCGTTACTTAGAATTGCGTCGATGTTAGCCGGGGTAAATTTGGGTGAAATTGGTTGTTGGGCAAAAGAACTGCAAACCACTCCCAGCAAAAGGACCATCACAATTGTTGATTTTGCCATTTTGAATTTTTTTTCTGGAGTTTATCTGAAATAAGAACAATTGTAAATTGCAATTTGATGTACAATTCCCGATGACTTCAAATATGCTGATTCTTTGTGCAATGAGTAAAGTATAGAGCAATGGACACCATTAGCTAGTTTCTATGTTCCATCCAAAATCGTCTTGTTTTCATTGCATTAAAATGAGCCATATTGGCAAAAAAAAATGGAGAAAATAAATAGAATTTAATGCTGATCGTTAATTCACTCGAATAAGTGTTCCAAACACTTTATTTTCTATAGCAGCAACTCTAACTATTTTTTGCAATTTTAGCTTTGATGTCCATCTCTATTATAAAAATGTATAAAATTCAAAAATATTTTACTTGACGTGCGTTCAAATTCACTGCAATTAAGAAACTAAGTTAACTCTGAAACCAAACCGACTATTTAAATACGAAGAAAAACACGGAGAAAGGCGAATGGAACCGATAGTGGAAAAAACCAAAAAAAAAAAACAAACAAAATCAATAATCTAGTTTATAATATGTACCAATACATTGAAGCAATTATACAATCGACTACCTGTTTTGAACATTCCAACACTACACACATGCTTGGCCCGTCCGTTTAATTCATTAGTGTGAGCCAGTACTCAGTATCACTGAGTAGTTGTTTGGCAGGTAGTTACCACACGGTCTAAACATGTGTTTTTCAAACATTTCAACAAACAAAGTTTTGATTCCAAAAAAATCATTGATTTCTTGTTTATATCGATCTATTGGGCTTTAGCGCATACATACGTCAACTATCGTTTTTTTATAGGTTAAAAGAAAGTCCAATTAAACCGCAGAGTTCTACGAATTTTATGGGGCCACTCAATATCAGGCTCTTAATTCTGTGCCAAATTAATCGTCATCCCTAATTAGTTCTCAAGAAAAATGAATAATTCGTGCTCAATTTAAACAACCACGTCGTATTGGTATTATACCGATGGTATAGACCGCAAAGTGAATTCACACGCTAATCGTTGGGAAATTAAAGATCATTTGCTGTTTAATAATATAATCAATTTGCCACTGTGTCACTGTTCAAAATCCCGTGTACAATACGAAGCCAGTCATTTGAACCTCATACAAATGACGTATTTCCAAAGCTCACAGTGGATATTACCATAATAGGTAATACCATATCGAAAATAAATGCAATGTTTATCAATAAATGAATTGATTTGCGGTCTTGTGGACACCCTCTTTTCTACTGTAGATTCGGAAGCATTTTATGTTATATCATTGTTTCCACTGCTCACGCCGTTGCACCATGAAAATTAGCTTGTCCATATGTATTCATTCATTCGGATTCGCAATGGGTAAGAATGGGCTAAAATCGTACAATAGTTGAAATGCGGTCAATGTCAGCCTTTTGGTTTATTTCCTCTTTTCAGTTTTCTTTCAATCTCTTTTCAGTTCTCTCACAACATCTACTCTTAGAAAATAGAAAGAACTGCTTCATTCATGCTGACACAGATGCTCATTGTTCATTGTTCTTTGTTTCTTTATTCTGAGCAATGCAGCTTTTGCTAGCAAGTGGTTGTTGTGTCAATTTATTCTGAACACTATGCTTGCAGTTGTTGCTATTCAACGACAAAATATTGTTCAAACAGAAATCGCAAAATTCATTCATGGTGAAGCGAAACTAACTCGGCAAAAGGAATACAAACAGAGACGCGAGAGCATTTTAAACGGAAAATGCTCCTGAAAACGAAGATAAATAAAAACGAGACCAAAAACAAATGATTCAAACATGTTACGATTTATGTGTAATTTTCGATTTATTCACTGATTTTCCGATTTCTTCTCGAATGAAATCGATGTTACTCTAAAACAAGAACTCTATTAGAGCCAATATATTGTAATTTTGATAAAAAAACACTTAGCAACTAATTTCTTAAAAACAATTTTTACAATAGGCTACACTATTTACAGAACCGGGATTTGGAACCATGTAAATATGATAAATGTTGAAATTGAAGAAATGTTCGCGACTTTATTCCTCTGATTTGTATGGTTTGAATAATTTTGGCTTCTCTGATTTGATTATCGTTGTTTCGCCGATATTGTTGTTGTTGTTGTTGTTGTTGTGGTTATTTTTATGATGAATGATTTGATGGTGCTGTTGTGTCTCTTGTGAATTTGTATCTGACACAGGTGATAGTGATAGCGGTGACATTGGTGAGCTTGGACTTTGTAAATAATCACTTCCAAACGAGGTGTTCAAGCCATTGACAAGATTTCCTCTCGTGAAAATTGGTCCACTAGGGGGTGTTAACAAGGGTGATGCATGTGAATGAGCTGGAATATTCATTGCATTTCGATGCGGAATCTGGTATGGAGAGTATCGGTAGCCGTATGGGTAAGGATTTGCTGCAGCCGACGGTATTTGTGACGGTGGAATCACTGGCATTTGTGGGATCATTGGGTTGGGTGCGTAGTATGGCATGCTGACTGAATTGGCTGCCGCCTGAAGCAACGAAGCTGCAAAATTTGGATCAGCATAGACGGCTGCGTATGGCCAAGCAACGGCAATCCGTTGACGTTTGTCTTTCATGCGTCGGTTTTGGAACCAAACCTATTGAATTGAACAAAGAATGCGTTCATTAGTAAAGTTGGAAATTACCAATTCAAATCGAATGTTAACTAGGGTAGGAAAAAATCGATATTTGCGAACAAAAGCTAAATCATTAGCGTAATAAATTTGACAAAATCATCAAATGAGTTCGCAATTTTAATTTTCGATCGATTTTCACTCTATTGAAAGGTAGAAAATATACACAAAATCGAAATATATACACACCTTGATGGTTGATTCAGGAAGACCGAGTTGAAGGGCCAACTCACATCGTTGTGGTCGTGATACATAGTTTTCCTTGTAAAATTCCTTTTCCAGTCGCGTCAACTGTTCACGAGTGAATGCGGTACGGTAACGGCGAGCCGATGGATCGATATGTTCGTTGCTTGTTTCCATTTTAAATGTTTGTTTTTTCACAAAATGTTTCACTTAATTTCGTTTGACTGTTTGGATTACACTATTTGAATATGTATACACAATTAAAAGCAGGTAAAATATTGTTGATTTCGTTTTTAGTTTTGTCGCAGAAACGAAAAAACAAACTAAAAGGACAAACTGTTTGGTTGAAGCTCAAGTTGAGACTGATGCATAGCAATCCTTAGCATCGCTTTAAATATGCTTGCATCAGATGAGTGGGCGTGGACACAGCACTTGTAGTAAATGCCGATTATCCAATATGAAATAGTACGGAGTATAGAAATTGTGAAAAGGAACTTCAATAATGGTGGTGGTTTTCAGTGATAATGGCATTTCTCATAACCTCAAATACACAAATGGAAATGTTTCGATGTATGGGTAGAGGAAATTCTTATCGTCTTGTATCGAGAGAATGGTTTATGGATTATTGTGCAGAATAAATTGTTACTTATCGAAATATGAAATGGACGACACATTTTCAGTCGATTTATCATCCGTTCTATGAATTTGATGTTGAAGAAATAATGATATTTATAATATGAGTAAACGGGAAAAAAATCTATGCTCCATAGAATAAGTGTAGATAGTATAGAATCTATACTATTTTACGATGAATATGCTCCCTGCTTATATTCGGTGTACTATTGCTGCTACGCATGTGAGTATGAGTGTATATGTTCTTATGTATGTACAATGTGGGCGTTGACCGTGCGCAAGGTAGCAAAAAAGTGTATTTTCTCTATGCAAGAACGTCGCTTACGTCTATAGCCCTACATATAGTTAGAAGAGTGCCGACGTTGTTTTCGTCCCTTTTCTGCTGATGACAGATTAGCGTTTTGAATCATATCCCTCTATTTCGGTCCGTTTCCATGTAATAGAGCCTGATTATTCAATCGACGACGACGACGATGACGACGGTGGGTGGATTAGAGTGGAAGTGCTCTTTCTATTTACTTTCACTGTGTGTCATACTGTGATCATCATGCACACAAATTATAGCATAATCAAAATGTAAACTGGATTTAATTGCGTATCATCGCATGCACACAATGTAATTTTTGTATTTTGAATGAATGGAACGCATGCTGTACGAAATTTTGTACATAGGTTCCCCCAAAAAGCGGGCAAAGAGTTCATTTATTACTTTTTCTCTTGATAGATTTTTTATATAAATTTCATCAAGCTCGCTAGCCTTAATCCCGATGCTAATTTGAAACAATGTAGATATTCTTTAATTAAACATGGATGGTAAGGGGTATTTCACCAAACTGAAAAAATGGCACATGATAAATTTTTTGCTTTGGGAAAATTAACGTTTTGTCAAACGATTAGTAATTTCGTATGGCAAAATGTTTTTATTCACAAAGCCAAAAATATTCACAACTAACCGTGTGCATAATTTAATAAGTGTGAGCGATCGTTATGACACTTAAGCTTCACTAAAGCGATTATGCCGCTAAACCAGCCTTTGTAATGTTGTTAGTTTGAATATTGGATTTTTTGTCTGTTTATATATATTCGAAATGAAGCTTTATTCCCATGGGTATAATGAAAAAATTTCATTGAAGCGATTCCGTTATGTTCATTTTGTATATTTGTAGTCATTGAGGCAATCAGCTCATCTTGATGACAGTCATTTTTTGGCAATTTTCACACCGTTTCACACTGACATCATCTCGCACGCAATCACAACTTCTACTCAACAGTCTACGCATTTATTTCTTGGCTGCGTTGCGTGAAAATAGCATCCACATAATACCCCTTCTCTCGCTCTTATTTTCACATCGGCGTGATAACGAAGCGTATACCTCTCTTTTTATTTCTTTCAGCCAATTCGGCATAAATTATTCTCATATAAATTCGCTGTAGCAACAGAGCGGCGCTTCTCACCAACACAATGATCGAGCGAAAATTGAGCGGAGCGGAGCGGAGTAAGGGAAGGGAACGAAGGCAAATGTGAAGCGACGGTGCAGAATGAATAAAAACATGCTTCGATGCTGTAATAATATCGACGAAGCGATATTACTTGGCTCTGGTCTGAATTTAATTGTGCATTTAGCACATTTCGCTGGATTTAATGATACTGTACGCATTTCAGTTTTACTTTTGCTTCTCCATTTTCTATGCTCGCTTATGGTTCGAGGCAAGTGATATTAATTTTCATTATTTTTCGCATGTGTATTGTGTCAGGATCTTAGTTCTCGGCATTCATCGCGCTTGATTACGCCGTTTAGCTACCATCCTTCAGAGTATTAATTTAAAACCGTTATGGCTGCGTGCAATTTTCCACTTTTCCACCATGAACGAACTGAACAACGAAGAATTGAGTATCGAGCACATTTTCTTCACATTTGAATGACATTTTGAATAGAATGCGAACCTGTGACTTACATTTGCAGTGAATTTCAATGATTCAATGATTGAAATTAGGAAAGCATCATATTTTAATCAAACCTTAACACTTTGACGGTTCTTCACACTTTTTACCTATTTCTGTTCTTTGGGGACTCCAGGGCCCCATATGTACTTCATATGAAATCTGGACTGTGATAAGAGATAACAAAATAGTGTCTGTGGAAAAGTTGTAATACTCGAGTCTTGCTATAATTTTGCTGCAACAAATATTACTTATCTCTTATCAGTTCCGCGAAAAAACGCGAAAAAAGCGTAAATCGCGAAATTTTCCCACCTCATTTTTAGTGAAGCTGATAAGAAGTAAGAGACTTGCTTCTTCGGCAGAAATATAGAGCAGATCGAATACTACAACTTTGCCACAGACACCAAGTCGTTATCTCTTATCAGTTACGCTAAAAAATGATAAGAAAAAATTCGCGGTTTTCGCGGTTTCCGCGTAACTGATAAGAGATAACGACTTGATGTCTATGGCGAAGTTGTAGTACTGAAGCTGTCCTACAACTTTGCCGAAAACCATCTTGTTATCTCTAAGATTGGCGTTTAAAAATCGAAAAAACTGCTTTTTTATAGATCAAAAAATCTGGGGTGAACGCTATTCTCATTTTTTTCGTACAGCTTACAGCGTACAGTGTACCACACACATACCCTACGACCCTAAAATAACACTAGATTTTTTGATTTTCGGCGTTCAAAAATCGAAAAAAAACTGATTTTTAGTGGGTCAAAAAATCTGGGGCGATCCCAATACTTTTCTTACACGACATGGTCGTGTGGAAAAGTAAAAAAAGAACCAGAAACCCATGCTGAAAACGAATTCATGAGAACTAATTCGAAATTTTATGACGGGACATTGTTCCTATATGCTCATTGTTTTGCTCATTCGGAATGAAAAAGACGGAACAAGGATGGATTCCAAATGATATTCCCACTAATATCGCCCAAATGCGAATTGAGACGAATCTACAAATAAGTTAAAATTGTATGGCTTCGAAGGAAATTAGTGACACATCGAAAAATGCAATTTGTTGGCATTCTTTTTGGGAAGCGAAACGCGTGAACATATCACAACTTCACAGTGAATTTCCGTTTGAAAACCAGTAAGCTACGCAAAAACAAACAAATCGCCTACTATGTACATTGTAAATGCATGCAACTTTTTGTTCTGCCATCGTCCGACTGACGTTATCCAATCGCAAATTGGTATCGCTTCAACTGGAAACCAAACTAACGCTCACCGGTCACTCAAAGGAATGTTACCGTCACAAATTGATGTTTGCAATTATTTACGGCTTTGTTTTGTTTCACCACGGATTTTCACTTTAAATGCTCTGCTCAGTCCAGCTCAGTCCGGCTGAGTACAGAATAACTCTCCATGTTGTCCCGCAGGACGTCTCAATCCCGATGAAGATGAAAATGAAGCCGAAGTGACGACATGAAACGAGGCATACACTCGCAAATAAAGTTGTCAACGTTTATTTTTTGTATTCCTTTCGAATGCACAGCAGGTGCACCCATCCAGCCAAAGTGTCCATTGACAGCAAAGCGAAGACGGAAGGAAAAACACATAACAATAAACAAACTCGAAGAAAACCAAAAGGAATACCGTGATAAGGAGACAAACTGAACTATTCACAGCTCATTCTACTGAATTTTCCTGAAAAGTAGCAAACTCTGGGAGGAATTTCAATTTATGATTACAGCCAATCGATTGATCAATTGAAAATTACTTGGCTCATGTATTCGATTCTAATAATGTCTCAATTTTAGCACTAAATATATGTACTTACTAAAATTCCATGATTAAAAACGTAATTTTCGTCAAACTACCGCGATTTAGAATATGTAGAATTGTTTGAAACGGACTACATTGTCACCGGTTCTTTTATTTTTCAGAAGAAAGTTCAAAATTTATACATATGGAAATTCCGCGAAACAATCTCTGCCTTTGGGGTTTCTTTCCACATTTCTCTTCGTTACTTCCTTTTGCTGGCTTTCTTTTTTGCGACCAGAATCATAAAATTATCACGTCGAAATAAAGAAAGCATGTGAGATGGGTCTTGTGTTTGGTGGCCAGAATATTAGTGCGTTGTGTATTTGCTGTTGACCTTGTTCAAACACATTAACAGCCATTTTTTCATCCATTTCTTCGTCGGTGATGCAAAAAAAAGAACCAATATTTCTTGTAAATGACTTTATGGTTATATGGTTTGATTGCATCTTTGGTTCGTAGCATGCGATGTGTGAACAGCATATATTTGAAGAAGCGATTTCAGCACATTTTCATGTTTGAGCCTAGCTGCAGGACTTGCAAACCAGAAGCTTAAATTTGTTAATTTTATATTATAAATTGAACACAATTCAAATATAGATTTATTGTGGTTCCATTTTTGCAAATAATTCGACAATGATTTCATTATAAACGTCTCAATTGGTTCACTTTGGTCAGACTTTAAAAATGAGCAGGAAGATAAATTACATTCATCGTGAGTTTTCGTCCAAGATTTTCATCAGCGAGGCCTTATTTAGTGCATGCAATTTTTAGCTTCAACAACCTTTTGGTGCATATACATTTTGACCGTGTATTGAGCTGAAATCGTAGAATCGTTCGACAAACAAATCTGAATTCATATTTTACAGTCATGACAGAAGATAAACCAAAGACACAATAATATTCGAATGATTTACAAAGAAAAGAAAGGATAGTGTTAAAACATTGTGTGTAGTGTGCACCAATAAAATATCCCTTGACTTTTCGGAGTCGAATATTTTCATTCTTGATGTTGGAAATCAAATCAAATGCGTAACATTTGATTCTTTTTCGCCCTCTCCTGAAGGAAAGTAAATCAAAAATGCATTAAAATTCTTCAAAAAGCCGAGTAAAAAACTTTAGCTGACAAATCGGTTATAAATAAAGCAAGAAAAGAAACAAATAAAAAATCATTATTTTTCAATGTCGATTGACTTTACTGTTAACGACCACTGAGAATGTTTCCATCTCATGTCACGTTTATTTATTATTCAATTGTTCTTCTTCATATATTCTTATTGCAAATTTAAATTTTGTTGAAGATCAATTTACAAATCCATCCATTCGTTAGATTATCGTAGTCCAGAGATGGATTTCGATGAAACTGAATTTTAGTCCCGTCTTTCATTTCCACCATTGGCTGACAATCTGAGTGGTAGTAAGATCCATCGGATGATCGAACTCCCAAACAAACTTCATACATTCTTTGTGGCTTAATCAAAATTGGCTGTGACAACGTTACCTTCAGCTGATTCTTAAAAATTCCAAACCACGTTATAGACGTATTTTCATGAAGAACTTTTGGCAACACAGTTGATTGGAATGTAAGGTTCTCGCGTTCGGTGATAGTTACTTTGACCTCAGTTCCGACTATTTCATTGATAGATGTGAATGCAGTGTATGTGCATGCAGTGTGAATTTCTCCCAATAGTACGTGATTATTCGATGAAAACGTAGTTACTTCTTGAGTTTGCATATCCTTGTGCGGAAACGTTTTAGATTCCCGCTGACATCGCAAAATATTATTCGCATCCCATATGAAGACCCCGAGTCTTGGAACTCGATTGAATATTTTCGGTTTATATTCCTTCATTGTTAACGATGCATAATATCTTCGAACTCGACCGAGGTGAATAAACCTTTATGTAACACGTAACATTTGCAAAAGTCATCGTTTGTCATTGAGCCAAATCGAATTAACTTCAAACAATCGCCGAGTTGAGTTCTCAAATTCACCGCTTACGTTGCATCCAAATCGTCTTGTTCGCATGCGTGTTTGGCCCACACCAGACATGCATAGAATACATCGGCTTCTGTGCAAACTAAATCCAGCTCCAGCATTCGCTTCAGAGTACTTTTGTCACAGCGTTTAAATGCGTCGGTGGCGAAAACACCCTTCGGCGAATTGATGATTTTGCCCTCGCAGAACTTGATCAGTTCTTCATTTTTGAGAGCCAGTGCCAATTGATAAACCCAGAACCTGTTATCCAGTGTTAGTTCACGTTTGAGAAACACGGCACACGCATTAACATGTTCGAGGACATCGTACTTGTCAGCCAAACGAACGACGGTCTCGATATTTTCCATGGTCAGACTCACCCCTCCTAGGCAGAAAAATTGCAGAAACTCCTTGAATGCGTCGGCATCTGCATCTTTAATTGGAACTTCGTTTCCCTCTTTCAACGACCCAAAGAACATCGCTTTGAATACTGGGCTGAGAGCCGCTAAAATGGCTTTGTTTGCCGGAACCTTTTCACCCTCATCATCGACGTTGAACACAAAATGAACATCAGCAAATTCTTCGTTGAGGTATAGTTTTTCACACGCTTCGGAAGCAGCGGTATTCTTCAACACACCAGCCATTTCATGAATTGTGAACAAAATGAATCAAAAATTGAGATGAAGTTCTTGGTTTTTGAGTAATTTTTTTAGTATTTGAAGATGAATATGAATATTGTCGCAAAATTGTTTTTCTCTCAAAGAATAACAGTTGTTGTTCACACAAACGCCGAAGGACCAATGAGATGTTCGGATGTTATGGCAAATTGTATTGCTGCAAAGCGAAAAAGCAATTAGGTATTATGCGTGCGTATGTATTTATGCACCGACTTTCAAAACAATCTGTCACTTGTTGAGTATATAATGAGCAAAGACAAAGCAACACATGCAAAACTAAGCCGATTATAGCGCATGCAGAAGAGACTAATTACTTTTGTGAAAGTGTGTGCTTGTGAGCTAAACGAACTGGTTGAACACGAAGTCATAAGAATAAATTATTGGGAATGGATTCTACAATGGAACAGACGGAATATGATAATCAACTATCATACAATAAAACTATTTCGAATTCTATTTCTCTCTGTGGCCTAAAATACAAAATGGCTTTTTTAAGTGAATGGCAATTGTTGATCATTCGAAATACAATATGATTTCAAATGTTATCCTCAGTAAAACAGATCTCCCAGCCACAAAATGAGAAGAATCTGCAAATAAGACAACATTCTATGATTTCATAGGAGTAGAGTGACCTCCAAAATCGGTCCTCCAAAAATACCTCCCATGGTAGGCAAGAAAGTCATAAGTGCTGCAGTACGAGTGAAGTCTAAACGATTTGTATGAAGAAGTATGTTCATAGCCGAGTGTGATGCAAAAAATCTATTTATCACCAAACTTTTGCGTTGAATGGCTACTGTGTGATTTCATTGAACTACTTTGTTTAA